TTCATTTTTGCATGTAACATTTCTTTCATCTTGTGCTCCCGTCACGAGCGCGACGTACGGGCGCGACAACGCACGAGGCGGTTACCTCGCTCCTGCCCGCCTTGTATACTCGCGCTCTGATTCGTCGAGAGTTTTTGTTAATAACTCGACTACCACGCCTCGGACAACTTTTTTGCAAAGGAAAAAGTTGTTTAAAATCACCATGGCTCCACCCCATTTCAAGGCCTAACACTAGTTCTGGGACACCCTGTATATGTCTCAAAACTAATGTAAGATATTGAAATGGGAGGTTCCTGACGTAATTTTGAACAACATTTTCCTTAGCGAAAAAATTGTCCAAAGCGTGGTTGAGGAGTTATTAACGAAAAATCCCGACCAATCAGAGCGCTCGGTTGGCGCGAGCTACGAATCGGGAGCATTGGCTCGAATCTGGACGCTCGGCTTTTGACGTGTGAACAAACGCTCCGCTCAATACGAAGCGGTTTAAGAAAATGACGAATAATAAACGAATAATAAATCTTCAGTCCTCCAACCATCGCGGCTTATACGGATCGTAAATCGCGTTACGCGCAACCGATTTTTGACTTCGTGGATATCAGAATCTCTCGCTAGATTCCGAGTTGTTCACTCGATTCTGCTTGTACAACTCAACTGCTGTATTGCGTCGACATCTTGTTGGTGCTTCATAGAAATGTCTTTCTTAGACTTTCATCAATACGAAAATTTATCCAACGCGATGCAAAATGTATGACAAATTAAGCAGTAAGGGTTTACTAGTTTCAGAGACCGAATCCGAGCCAACGCTCCTGATTCGCAGTTCGCGCCAATCGAGCGCTCTGATTGGTCGGGGTTTTTTGTTAATAACTCCTGAACCATGCTTCGGATAATTTTTTCGCTAAGGAAAATATTGTTTGAAATTATGTCAGGAATCTCTCATTTCAATATCTTATACTAGTTTTAGGACACTCTGTATAACAAAATATCGTGATTTAATGAAATCAATCGTTAACAGAGAAACTATTCTCGATTTCAGTTCGCTTAAAACGATGGAATATGAGAAAACTCACCGGTACTCGGATCCCTCGCTGAGCTGCCTGACCGTAATAGGAAATTCGCTGGGTCCGTGTGCCTTCAGGAGTTCCTGCAATCGCACGAGACCTTCGTTGTTCTCATAGATGATAGTGAAGCTCTTCCAGCCCCAGGCCTTCACCAAATCGACGTACGCCTGAAACACAGCAGTCACTTATATCAGTCGATCGTAACTCTCAACGATGATCCACCGTTTTCGGTATAGTAAGTCAGTCAGTCAGTACGTCCGCTTCGTTTCTCGTAGTTAACCCCGGAGACTCGTTTGCATACGTGGTTTCCCGGCGTGGTTCAAATTTCAAAGACGTAATGGGCCGCGCTGCAGGAACGTCGCTCGACATGCAAATGAGGGCACGTTCACTTTTATCGCGGTTGATAAATTAGTCGGCCGCTCGGAGTCGAGATGGATGTTTCGATTTAATAAAACTTGTAAATTTCCTAGTTATACGTTTCACCGCCTAATTAAACATTACTACGTTCGTGTAAAAAGTCTGCCTCGTTTTTAATCAGTTTTTTTTTAAATACAATAAAAATATCAAAACGCAAGAGTAATGAATATGCGGGATGGAATTATTCCACATAAATGGAATCCAGTTTGCACTTTAAAATGGTAAGACCTTTTAAACACTAGCATTCTTGAGGTTATCCTATGGGTAACTGGAATCGATCAGGGTGATCAATTTGAACAACCACAGAACGGTCTGAAAGCGAACAATTTACAATTTTCACTTTAGATCCCATTAGAATGTTAGATCGCAATCTGTCGCCAGTGAAATATGAACAACGTTACCTATAAATCGAAACCGTCACGGGAGTTCTATAGAGGCTATTATCACAGCCATGAAATCCCATAAAGTATCACAGCCATACGTTCAATCTTCCGATGGCACTGATACTTTTAGTCATATTTCCGCGCGCGTTTCGCTTCCCCCCGTCCCCCATTACCGGGGCCGAGCTGATAACGTCCGCCGATTTTTCTCGATTCTTTGATTCCCCGGAAAAGGGTACCTTAATGGCGGAAATATTTTCAATCTGATCCAACGTAACAGCCCGCATATGAGAATTTATGCTACCTCTATTAGCCATTACTCCCGACCCTCGAACTCTTCCAAACACGAATGGAAGGAAGAACATCGAGAATTTATATCCCGGCTAAAAAAAAATAGTCCTGCGATTTTCCATAGACAATTTTTTCTTTTTTTTTTTTACTCCAAGAGCTCTCGATTAGCGATTTAACGACAGGTTGCTATAAAAGTGAAATACGATTCGGCAATCGGAGAATACCTCGTGTTGTACCAAAGTAATATAAGTATCGATTGAGAGTTAAAGAAGTTGGAACGAAGGGTGGAGGGGGGGGGGGAGGCGCCATCCTCGCCAACTGTGTCGGCTGATATATCGAAATTTAAGCAAGGGCTCGGAGACGCGGCCTGCGCGTGTTTATCCGAGACTATAGCAGATAA